CTCCAGGATATATTTTACCATACTACCTGACCCTTCAGTCCATCTTTTTGCTGCTTCTATACTGATACGTACTAACATCTTGCAGAGCTAGTGTCCTCTGGACATCACTTTTCACCTTCCAAGTCTCTGTCTAGTGCAGTAATGTGAATAAAACAGATTAAGGGATTAAGACAAGGGATTAAGAGAGAAGGCAAGGGATTAAGACTTCCTGAGTTTGAATCTCAGTTCTCCCTTGGCTACATAGCATTTATAAATTATTTTATTTCTTAGTGAATCTTAATAGTACCTGACCAAAAAAAAAAACATTATGAGAATTGAGGTAATGAAGGTAGAGAGTTGTGCAGTAAGAGTTCAGTAAATTATTGTTATTCCACTCTGCCATAAGTAAGAGTCACATTTTGTTATAATAGGAACACCCAGTTAGTGAAGATATCTCTAAGCCCAGCAGAATTTGGTGTTGAAAGATCAGCTTAGTTACTGCATAAAGCAATGAATAGATATTTGCTGAACCTCTATGACGATGTTCTTGCTAGGAGCTATGATGAAGCTATGCCTCTTCATTTAATTCCACAATTTTGCAAAGCATGAATGATTAATTCCAATTTACAAATGAAATTACAGAGGCTAAAAGAGGTTAATGATATGCCCTGGTCATGCAGTTAATAGGTACAAGAATGGAGATTTGACCAATGTCTATCTGGGAATTTTCATCCATACTATATTACAAATCTTGTTGGACAACCAAAGTGGAAATTTCCAGCTCTGAGCCAATCAACTGTGAATAGTCCGTCCTCTCTTGCTCTAATTTTGAACAATGAGAAATATCAGTCCTCAGTGAAATGCTGAAGACACGCAGTTCACTCTGCCTGTCTTCACAGCATTAATATTCTTATGGGCAGTTCAAAGTAGTTCACTGTAAAAAAAAAGGCCATTAATTGGTTACATCAGTTAGGTTCCAAAAATTGTATCACAGCCTATTGATACTTGCAAATTCCCATGTATTAACTAACCCAGTGTTAGAAGATGGTAATCTGAACTCTAAAAACAAAAATTAGAAAATGTAACTTTGATGAATTTAAAAAGGACACATGCCCTGGATGGTGTGGCTCAGTTGGTTTGAGAATTATCCTGTGAATTGGATGGTCATAGGTTCAATTCCCAGCACATGCCTGGGTTGCGGGTTTGGGGTATATACAAGAGGCAACTGATCGATGTTTCTATCTCACAATGATGTTTCTCTCCCTTGCTTTTCTTCTCTTCCCTAAGCATGTCCTTGGGTGAGGATAATTTTTTTTAAAAAGAGCTATTCCTAAAATACTCATGCCTATTCCTAAAAATATCCATGTTTTATTTAATTACACACTTGCTATATTTGATGTAATTTTGCTTGGCTTCTTCCTAAAGATGATTTTTAAAATGCATATTTTATATATATATATATAAATTTTATATATATATATATATATATATATATATATATATATATATATCTAAAATAGAATTTCCTAGCCAGGTTTTATATCTAGACTGATTCGTGGAATGTCTGGTGATATTACAGTCCACTACAGCGTCATTCTCCTCTTCATTATAAGGGCAAACACCTCATATGTACATGTTTTAAACCCGTACAAAGCTGTGATTATTCTCTAAACTTTAATAAATGAAAGAATGATGCTGGGAAATGCTAAACTATTGAGTGTGACACACAATGCCTGCAGAGACATAAGTGCAAGTCAGTGTGTCCAGTGAATGAGATGCATTGTACTAGAATTACAAGGGAACAATGGGGACAAGGCTTCAAATTGTATCGAGCACTTAGAAAAAATTTTCATATTTGTGATGGCAAGTTGTGAAGAACAAGAAGCCTGGAACTGAATAGACGGGTTTGCACCACTAGAGCGACTGTTAGGCTATTGACTAGTACTAGCGTGGGGGGTGACATGCCAACTGTACCACCTTCATGAATATTCTGGACAAGGTTTTGGTTCTTTTTTTTTTATCAGAAAGTAACTAACAACAGTAATCTCTTTCAGAATTAATTACTATAGAAAAGACCTTTGTATTCTGAATGTATTTGTTCTAATTAAATGTTCTTTTTGACGTTGTATGTGAAACGAATCTGTTGGTGGCTGCCTCCCTTTAATTAGGACACTTAATAAGCCTGCACTGTGTCTATGCCATATACACACACACAAAAGAGTATTATAAGAAACATGACTAATTCTCATTGTTGAAAATTATTAAAAATTACCTTAACAATGTCCCCTTAAAGAAACCAAGATGTATCTTTCAGGCTACAAATTTTTAACCGTGACTACCTTTACTATTTACCTGGGGAATACTTAACGATATGGGTATCAATTGCGCTCTCCAAACCATTTAAAACTGATTCTCTGGAGTTGGGAGTGAAGGAGTTCTAAATGCTCCTCCGTGGCCTGCATGCAGAGCCAGGGCTAAGAACTTGATGTGGGTAATGGAGCCAGGGCACCGATGTGTTCACTAATGAGAACTTCATTTATGCAGGCTATAAATAAATTCACTCCAAGGTTTTAAGATGAGTTTGGAGGAAGATTATGATCACTTTTTGATAAAATCTATCTTTAGTTTACTTGCATTCAATTAATGAATAAGAAAAGCCCCAGTTCAAAGGCACTGACCATGGGCAAGTCCAGTGAGCAACAGATTTTAATTAAGCCTTGCTCAACTGAAGAAAACCTTATGTGATGACAGAGAGAGGCCAAAGAGGGAGCGAAGTAAACTTGTCACTATTTTCCTATAATATAAATATATTGCCTACTAATGGAGTGTTAGAATAAAACTTTCAGTATCAATATTCAGTATATTATTCCAAATAATAGGTAACTATGAACTAGTTTTAAATTTCAGTTTTTGAAAACTATTCATAGATATGTGATATTTTGATTTAAATATGAGAGTTTTCTCTACTTATTCAGAAATTCTGACATAAATATTTTTCTTTACACATTCTTATTCTATAATATTTTAGATAAGAAAGAAAAAACAAACTGCAAGAAGAGCATAACAACCACAAATAATCTCACCACATGAGGATACCATTAGCTAGTATATTGATATATTTCTTTCTACTTCTTTTCCAATACATTCACAATTAATAATTAAAAATAAGAGGAGGTCTACATTTATATTTAAGCTATTTTTCCCCACTCTCAACATGCAGTAAATGTTCAATAAGCACGTAGATATTTTATAATTATTTTAACTACTTCCCTATTATTAGAATAGTCGATTTGCTTCCATTTCCAAGTTTGATACCTGTGAGAAAACAAGTATGTTTTTCATTTTTGATATTATTTATCTTGGAATAGATTTTTGGATGAAAAAATAAATGTCCCTAAAATAAATGTTCAGGAGTCCAACTCACAGCCCACAGGCCACATGCGGCCCAGGATGGCTATGAATGTGGCCCAACATGAAATTGTAAATTTACTTAAAACCTTTTTCTTTGCTCATCAGTTTTCAATAGTGTTTGTGTATTTAATTTGTGGCCCAAGACAATTCTTCTTTTTCCAGTGTGGCCCAAAGATACCAAAAGGTTGGACACCACTGTTAAGATACCTCATTTTGTCCATACAGTAAAACAACTCATCAAAGAGCCATTTATCAATTTGTTGATCAAGAAGCAGAGTCGAAAATAACTTTATAAATTGTAATTTGTCTCTTTGTTGTTCCCTATCTAACAATTTCATTAACACGATATTAAAAAACACACACATACACACACATCACCACTTCCTCATTATGTTGCAGAGTTTTATAACACAAAAAGTAAAGATAATAAAAATGTACAGAAGAAAAACATCAGTTGCAAAAAAATAACATAAAGACATCAGTAACAGCAGATGCTAGATGATAATCTCCAAATTCAAGGAAAAAATGAGTTTTAATCTAGAATTTTATTGCCAAGCAAATGCCAAACAATAGTAAGATCAAACTGAAGTCATTTCAGATATGCAATAACTTATAAAGTTTGCATATCACATCAACTTTCAGAGGTAGTTGCTTAAGGATATACTCTGGAAAAAAAAAGAGGGAAAACTAGCAAAGAATAAGTATGACATTAGAAATTGGAATTTTCCAGTAATCCAATGAAAAGTCAGTGGGACCAAAAATTTCTTAAAGAAGAATGAGATGGTGGATATAAAAACAAGAAACTGAAACATAATGAAAATATTTGGAAAAAAATGATATTTCTGTTCTCCCAAGAAGAAAGCAATATCAGATAACCTAGGAAAACAAAACTAACAATAGTTTGTGGTATAAACAATTAAGTAAATATAATGTATAATTTTGCCTATTTGTTGGAAGGCAGGAAAGGAGAATTGACTTAATTTTAACTCTAGGCAAAAGAGAGTGACAGAGATCATAACAATTTGGAACTGTACTACAGGTAGTTACTACATCTGCAGAAAACATTATTTTCATAGCTGTAATATATCTGCCAAGTGAGAAGTCAAGATAGGCTGTTGAAATGTGATAGAACATGATATAAAGATGCAAATATACTATTTATAGTTACAAATTTAGTCAGTAGAGAGGTTTAAATTTAAAATGGCAATATAGCTATGAAAAATTGAAAGGTTATACAAATGAGATAAACCCTCATCTAGTATAATAGGAAATCAACAACAGATAATGCTGAAATTTGATAAATCTAGACATAGTAATATAAGTGTACTTAATCATAAAGAATTGTAAAAAATTTCCAAAAGAAAAGCAGTATAAATGATTCATTTTCTTTGATTATGGGATTGTTATTCATCACAAGTTTACAAATATTATTTAAATGTCAAACAGTATAAAATACATTAATAATTTAACCTCATAATATTATACTCACCCAACATATATTAAAAACCAAACATGAATTTTCTTCTAAAAAATAATGTTCCAGGTTTGAAGAAGACAGCTTATCTTTAAGGAGGGAAAAAAGATAGAGGAAATATTAAAAATCAACTCACCTAAGCAAAAATCACTGAGGTCAGCAAAAGAGCACTTGAGTACAGAGTCTTTTTTATCCTCCTCAGGGTTAACTGAAAAAAAAGAAAAAAAGACAGTTGGTATACTTGAAAAATAAAAACATAATAATGATTGAAAAAATGACCATAGTGACTATTATCTGAATGATGGCCAAACATAAATAATGTTTTAAGTTAATAAGTTGAAATTAGTTATTTAAGATTAATATCTGTACTATGTTTTACAATGCCTTCATCTTCTTGAACAATCAGCCACTTTCCTCATTGGGCATGGATGTCATAAGACTTTGTATAATAGGAAATGACTTCACAATATTATTGAAAAGATAATCTTGGTATTTTTCATGACATCCAAAGCAAGAAGCAGCCATAAGGAATTATAAGGAAATGCATTCTAATAAGAACCAAGCCCCTTAGAAAGGGATGGGAAAATGAAAATACATTCTCTCCACTGAATGAAATACTGGCCTGGTTGCATTTTAACTCCTGACTCCTGTGAACATAATGGCGTGTCTCAGATTGGCAGATCTGTGTGCAGAAGAGTGCCCAAGGGCAGCCACAAAGTCTCTTTAATGTGGCATCCAGCTGGCTCTTCCCTATACCTCGTATTTCAGCACTTGTATTTATCCAAGGCTTCAAAATCCATATTTGATTGTCAGCACTTGTCCAACCACATCTTTGTGCAACCAATTCTTCCCTGTTTTATTGTCAATATTATTTAAAGCTTTTGGTCTTTTTAGGAAGTTGAGTTTATTATCAATGACATATCCTCTTCAAATAATGCTTATAAATTTTCACCAGCAATGGTACTGAGCCAACAATTCATAAAAGCTGGTCTGTCTTCCCCTGAAAATAACAGTTATTAGGTCTAGATTCGCATGGGGTTGGCTGCCTTCAAGGCAAGAAAGAACTGAAAACACATCTGACCAACACATAGACTTTCACCTAACTCACACAGGGTACTATTTTTCCTAGGCCAGCCTCCTTCCTAAAGAGCTTCATACATACTAGTGAAATAGATGAAGGAAAACAAGAAAGAATTGTTTGACAAAACCTTAGCCTTTACAAGTTGAACAAGAAAATGGGGCTCACCTTCCTCTGCTTTGTCAGCAGAGATGGAGGTCACAGACATGGGGGCCTGAGATTCACTCTCAGTGGCCTGGAAGAGGGAGGTAGACTGGCTCAGGCTCTTTGAGAAAGCATAGCCCTGGGTCAGGCATGGCAGGGATCGCCGGGATGGTTTCAATGACGTTTCTTTCGCTATCTCACTCTTGCTCATATTCATACCTAAAAATCCCAATAGGTGAGTGTTAGTAATCAGAAATATTCAGCAAAAACCAAAAAACTAATTTTTATTCTTGTACTAGATGCTTCTGAAAAATACTCTTAAAAAGCACCATTTAGGAATTAGAATTAGTTGAATTAGCTTTGTTTATATTCGAGTTTTTGTCAAATAGTTCTGAGAAATAAACAGCACTTTTTTTCCATTTGGAGTTTCACCATTTTTTAAAGAAATACATGTTTAAGTGTACTTGGGGAGTTGTGAGAACAATGATTTAGGTTGCCTTTGGATAAGTCTAACCATTTAGGTTTTCAAGAGAAAAAAGAAATAAAACATAATTCATAAACATTCAAATTGCTATTCATAAATGAAGGCTTTCTTTATGTGCCCTAGCCTCCCTTAAACACAAGCACACTGCAGTGACGGTGACCAAGAGGCCTGCCGGAGATGGTATAATGCAGCACAAAAACTGGTAAGCAGAGAGAGGCCCAGAGAACGCATTCCTGGGCTCTGTGTAGCAGTCCCTCCCCTCACGCAGTGAAGAATGATCTGCCACTCAACAGGACTCTGACTCCGAAAATGGAGGTCCCAGTGACGGTCTGCTGCAGCAAAGAATGCTCACTCCAGGGGGGAAATGAAACAGGACATGGATAAAAATTTGCTTTCTCAAGGTTATAAATCTAGCAACTGCCGAACTGAATGTTAATGCTATAGCTGTTGGACTCTAAAGCCTATGATCTTTCCAGAAAGCTCCATGGCTCCTCATGAACCCATCCTCACATGGTTTGTTACTGTTGCTTGGCTTGGTATAACTTTAAGCAGACAAATTTTAAGCGGAGTGCTCTGAATGGAGAAACCACAGAGCTAAAGTAAACCTCAGGACCTCTAAAAATTCCACATCCACATCTTAGTGAACTGTAGAATATATTTTGGTGAAAAAGGAATGCCTACCCACCATTCATCAAACTGCATTTCTTCTCTTTCAAACTTCACTATAAAATAACAGATATGGTGAACACATAATTTGCTATGAGTTAGCTATGTGTGTAACTGAATTACACGAAGTAAGTATCAATCAATATTTTTATAGGAATTTTTGTTCATTCAGGTTTCCATCATTTATTTAATAATTTCAAACTGTTTTTGAGTTCTTCCTCTGAGCCAGGCCTTAACTCAGTGTTGGGTGTGAAATGGTGCTCACTCACATGGAAAGCAGATACATAAAAGCAGATCTTTACATTAAAAACTAGTAAAAATGTACACATCAGCCATGCTAAAACCACCCAAGAGCTCCTAATCCAGATGGAAGTACCACTGTAGTCTTACCTGTGAGGGTCATCTGAACTGATTCTTTTTTGCATATTCCTTTTCCTATATTTTTATTATTTGTAATTCCTGGATTTAACACATTTTTTTCCAAAGGAATGGGTACACAAGAAAGAAAGTCTGTAGAAAACACTATACAAACTCATAAACACTAAAACTATTTGTCAAATGAACACTTAAAGAAAATTGAGAAAATGATGTTGAAGATGCAACAAATGGCTCTCCTATTGCGCCGCATTCCCTGTATCTCTAATGCAAATGCAGTTTCTTCATTTTCTGAATGACTGTTTCCAAATATATTATACAGATCATCTTTGCTGGTAACCAATATAATCAAAACCAAAAGTCAGATATCTTATGTCTGAAGAGTGCAAAGTTTCTTTTCAAAGTTTCACATCAACTGCCATCATATTCTGTTTGTCATAACAATCAGTTCTGTTCTTTGCTTGATGTGATTGACATTAACACTCCCCAGAGCAAAATCAGGCCTTTTTCTTCTATGTTTCAAAGTTCTAGTTCCTTATTATATGGTTTTACATGGCACCCTTAAATAATATTTGATAACTACCCATTTAAAGCTAATAACTAGAAAAGGGACCACAGTAACATGTGAACAGTAACATGAGTTTTGGTAAGCATATGCCACTCCTGAGTTCAAGGATAAACCTGTAGAACTGCAGAAGATGTGTCATTTCCTCTACTTCAGACAGATTTTTCTAAAACAACAATTAGTACCACTTCCAGCTATTCTAAGAGCATTTCATAAACGCGCACATATATATGAAAGGATCCAATGAAATGACAATTTCACTTGGGTATACACAAACATCCAAGAGGTAGAATTGCAAAACAATATTTTCTAGAAATTCATTCACATAAGTCATCAGACATCAAAAGAGAAAAACTTGCTATTCAGATACCATATAACTCAATGAGTTTTGAGCTGATATGGAGTTTTAATGGCAAAAAAAAATCTTTAGAAAACTTCAGACAGAAAATTGAGGAGTAAAGAAATTTGACTAATCTCAGTGCAAAACAAACATTTTTTGAAAAGACCACTCTTCTGATAAAATTTCTCTTCCAGAAAAGTAACTCATCCTAAGGACTCATGAAAGAAAAAAAATTAATAGAATAAACTTCAAAAATTCTATGAAGTTATTTGTTATAAGAATTTTTTAGTAAGATATAAGATATTGTTATCTAATAAATTTTACACTATGTCCACGAGAAGGAAATTTTAAAAATAACAAATATATCTGTCTGCCTCTTGTTATTCTCAAGAAGAATTATATGGTTTAGTAAGACTCCACACCTTCATCGGAAGTATTTTAGAATGAATGGGCTGAGGGTAGATGGTGCTTCAGGGTGCCATTTAATTTTATAAAACCCACTCACACTCTTCTATGATAGTGGATATAATCAATGCATATTTATCTAAATAATAAGCATGGGAGGGAAGCATAAATGGACACAAAATTTTCTTATTTTTTTACATGTCAATATCCCCATAGCTCTGTATTCTTCAAAGGAACATTTTTTAAATTGTTGCTTGAGTGCTGGAAGTTATTGCTAATGACAAAAGCAACATTTATTGAGAGACTGCAAAGCACCAGGTACATCCTGTATATTATTAATTCTCACAATAGTCTTGGTAGGACTTGCCATCTCCACTTCACACGTGAGAATCCTGAAACACAGAGAACTTCAGTAACTTGTCTCAAATCCAACATGCAGGAAGTGTTGGAGGCTGAAACAAATCTGGTGCATCTTATTCCTATGGCTCTGCTCTTTGTAATAAAATGTGCAACCTCTTTATATACTCAGACTTCTTTTACCATAGTACACTCTTCACTCACTTCTCAGTTTTACTCTCACTTTGAGCAAGGAAAAGTATGTATACTGTATCAGTTTTAGGATGACAGAGAGGGCTAACTCAGGGTAATTGATGAAAGTTTAATAAGGGAACTAGTTACAAAGGAATGGGCAAGATTAAGAGAAACCAGCAATGGTTGGTGAAGCTCTCTTCAACTAACAAGGATTAGAAAACTCTTATCAACCTTGGGCCTGCAAAGCAGGAGGGAATGAGAGCAGACATAGGAACCTGGAGGTAATTACAGCACCTAAGTGCTTAGATAGAGGTGTGTAGGCACTGTCAAACCACAGAAAGGAAGTCTGGGGGCCGAGGAAATAAAATACCCAACCTCTCTTTTGTCAATATCTGGTCTGCAGCTGCTGCCTCCCACTGGTTAAATTTAAACAAGGGCTAGAAGTTGTGCGAACAACTGGTGGTTATCATCCACAGACACCTGCTTCCATTAGGCAGAGAAAAAACAGAGCAGGATGGGTCTGGAGGGGTAAACTGAGATTATGCACTACAGATGAACAGATGTATAACTTCAGAGGAGCTTTCAGCTTAACTTTTGGGCACAGAAAGCAACATATGTACTTTTTTTTAACCACGAGAGAATACAATTTAATTTTGTGTGTGGGGGGGGAATAAACCATGCGTAAGATGCTTATAAGTTAACACGAGAAAGGCAGCTCTTGACTTTAATGTAATTTTGAGTTTGCTTGCTCTGTGCAAGACTACGCAGGAGGCAGAGGTGAATAATACACATTCAGTTTTTAAATAAGAGTGACTATCAAAATCAAAATTCATCTCATATCATTAAACTATATTAGGATGAATAAGAAAAGCTCTCCTTAATTTTAATGCAAAACAGAATATTGTAAGAAAGGCACAAAGTTACGTGGGGGTTTGCAAACTGGCGATGATGAAATGAGTGCCCTCATTTTTACTTTTACCTTTGTGTCCTATTCTCTAATCTCCGGGTCACACAGCCCACCCCAAATAGGTGAATTTCCCTTGTTATGCATCCCCTTAGAAACAAGTCCTTTGCTTTAACAGGACTTACCGTGTTTGCATTTATTTATTCATTAGTTAGTATTCAACACACAGTCTCTCCAGCTGTAAGGGAAGTGTCACGCGGGGCATGGGCCATGCTTGCCGTGCTCACAGGCACAGCGTCAGCACCCGGCGCAGGGTCTGCACACACAGTTTGCCAATGGCGTTTACCCAAGGAATGCCACTGATTTTTATTTATCGATATTGTATTCAGTAAATTTGCAAACTTGCTTATCACTTTCAGGAACAATTTTGTAGGTTATTTGAAATTTTCTATATAAATTATCATATTGTCTACAAAGAAAGGTAGTATAATTTCTTACTGACCAACTGAATACCTTTATTTATTTTTTCTATCCTCATTTAATTTTCTAGGACTTCCAATGCAATATTGAGTAAGAGTGATGGAAGCAATCTTGCATAATTCCTGATCTTAAGGGAAAAGCCAATATTCTCTCATGAAGTGTTTTATAAATGCCTTATGTCATATGGAGGAAGTTTCTTTCCACTCTGAGGCTGCTGAAGCTTTCATCATGATGGATGTTGAATATTTGTTTCTGCATCTGTTGCTATATCATGTAGTTTCCTTATCAAGTCTGTTAGTGTGGTATAAATTCCTCTTACTATAGCACCTGCCCTTCACATAAATATAAGAAGAAATATTGCTGACGCTCTCCAGGGCAACCATAAAGCTTTCTCTTCCTACATTCCACCTCCAAGGTAAAGAGGCCCTGGTAAGGTTCTAGTAAATGCATACTTTTGTTCCAGGGTCCT